ATGTAGTCGCGATTGCCCGGCTAGTTAATACCCTGTTTCTAGCGAAGAGTTGCCGTTAAAAAGCTTTCAACTGACTTCTTTAGACAGATCTTTATACAAAGGGCTTAAAATCTTGAATAACTTCGGTTTATTCTGTTCGATATTTAAGAAGTTTTCGGCGCTCAAGTACTACACCCAAAATGTATGTATATAGCCAGGCACAAGGAGGAAGTCTTTGGAATGTGAAATATTGTAAATCTGACAATATTATGACTCAGCCTACGAAACAGGTTTGACGTCTTTAGCTGCAATAATTTTCCAATTATGCTTCGAAGACCATGGCTCTAAATCAACAGTTATCTATATTATGAAACTAGGAGGTGATATCTAAGCTAAAGAAGAATATGGATGCGATTGGCGATGCTTTTTTCTGACGCCTACATACAATTCGCACAAAACTGATATACCCTTTGAAGCCAGTTTTAATGGGTATAGGTTATAAATAGCTGAAATTCTGTGGAAACGTGCTCTGTATTATTGGGCTTTTAATTATAATTCAATGATTATTTGCAAATGTTCTTTCCAGAGATTTGCGAGTCACATTTGGCTTGCATTTGGTTCAGCTTTCGTGGGTGCGTTCAGCATTTGGCAGCTGACAGATTTACGGTGCATAAACATTAATTACTCAACACTGGTCGCCTCACACCTGCCCCTACGCTTTTTTGCTTTTGTTTTTGTTTTTTGGTGCTGTGATTGCCTTTTACCTGTTGGCTAAAAGCGCATTAAATACGCATTATCTGACCAGCGACACGCCCCCTCATAAAGGTCTTACAACAGCTGCAAACACTGCCAACGCCCCGTTTGCCCCACTTGAACCGCTGTCGCCCACTTTTGGCCAATGAGAGTCACGTCGTTGCCTTCAAATTAGCGCAGAGCTCAATTAAATGCTTTGCCACGTGAACGGGGCCTCTGTGTGTTGGCTGCCCAAACGATGGTCGCGGGAGCGGGAGCGGGAGCGGGCTGACTGCTCATTGCTTGCCTGGATGCGCTTCAGCGCTCATTTTCTGCTTGAACACTTGCACACATACATGCACACGTACACACACGTGCACACTCTCATTTAATTTAGTTGATTCTAATTTAATAACGAGCTGCACAAGTCGAGATGCAGCTAGCAGGCCGCGGCGATAACCGCAGCATATTAATGTTAATGATAATGTTGATGAGAATCGAACGATACACCAGGCACACTAGAGATGACATTATGTTGATAGCACGCCCATGCGACAACACGCAGCGAACGAGGCATTTACAAGTGTCAATCGATTCAAAATGGTGTATCGATAACAAAATTATCGATGAAATTATCGACTATTGAACGAAACATATCGATCACCAGACATGAAACTATGGTAAATTTTGGCAGAGAGAAAGTCAAGCACAAAAAGCTAGACCAAAACAAGTTGCGCGTGTTATTTAGCAACATATTAGACTAAATTAACGACAAGTATCGATAAGTATCGAAAGCCATAGCTAAAGTATTGAGTATTTATGTTATCGATAGTTAGGGAGACGCTTCTAAAAGGCTGACAAAATGAGAAATAAGAAACCTTACTTGGAACTTACGCGAAAGCCTTGTAATCGTTATCGATAAATATCGATCGGTGGCAAAGCACAAGTAAATGACATCAGCCTAAGTTCTAATGATTGTGCGCCGTCACTAACGCAGCACACGCACATAACACACACACGCACACACATTAATAAAGTGACTGCCTCTTATGGAATGCCCGTTAGGCTGCTTCACTGTCGCTCACTCATTTGTGGTCTGTCTCTCTCTCTCTCCCTCCCTCGCTCTCTCCTTCTGTGTATGTCGCTCTCTTTCGCTCTGGCTCCGTCTGTCTATGTCATCTAACATTGACCCTGACCTTGTTTGGGCTCCGCTGCCAGTTGCAGTTGCATCCCCTCCCACGCCGCCATGCAGACATTTTACCTTAACCAGGTAACTCGCCTGCGGGCGAGTGCTTGGACTTGCACTTGAAATCGGTGGCAACGGCTGCAGAGGCTAATGCGCTTACATTGATGCTGATGCAAGTGTTTGGCATTGCATTTTAAGCCATGCACTTAATAGCCAGATTAGTGCAACAGTGACACAGCAGCAACAAGCAGCTGCAGCTGCAGCACACGTCGTATACGTGATGTGTGTAGGCGCATAAATCAATAGAATGACTCGTGACATTGCCCACCTGCAGGCCACATACGCACACACACACACACGTTGCCCCGCCCACACATAAACACATACTTGCCGCTTGCCACTTGCCGCTTGCCACTTGCCGCTTGCCACTTGCCACTGGCCACTTGCCACTTGCCACACTGTAACCTGACGAGCAGCCAAGCATTGTTAACTCAATTTCGACACGGAAGCAATTTTCGAAGTGGCAGCAAAGCCAGCGACAAGTCGCAACTTAACCATTTCCAACAGCCCCTCCCCTTGCTACTCCCCCCCCCCCCCCCCGCCCACTCAGTGGTCCATTAAAGGCTGCCAGGATGCGTTTCCGTTCTGCGACAACAGCTGCATGCGCTCTGTGCGGCCCGCAACAGTGGACGGAACGCCTGGCCTGGCAGCGAGTTTAAGAAAGCAATTAACGAATGATTTATACCCGATTCGGTATCTAAAGTTTTCGTTTTCGTCTATTGCCATAAATTAGTATTAAATAAATTATACGAGCTGAGCAAGCACGATGCTCGATTGGGCAAGTTTGCGATGGTCACATAGTCTGCATGACAAAGTAGACCTATAAAAATGAAGGATTATTTAATTAATCCGCCCTAGACTCGAGGGTCTTCAGGTTTTTTACACTTTTTTGGTGCTCTATTTCATTATTTTTGAATATAGCCAAGAGCTTTATAAACATCTACGGTATCTTTTTTTTATTAATTTCCTCCTCTATGTTCACATTAATTTGATATTGAAGCATAAAATTCCGCTTTTTTTTTTTAGTTATTTTCTGCAACTTTAATCATTAAACTGGC